CATCAAGCCATAGTTAAAACATTTTCATTTTTGGAGGTCATTTAGGTCATTAGAGGTCGTAAGAGGTCATTAGAAGGTCAAACACTGGATTTTTTGCTGCTACTGTATTCCCTGGGTCCCTAGCTTTCGTTTGATGTGCATAAAGCCATAGTTGAAATATTTTCTATTCCTGGAGGTCATTAGAGGTCATTAGAGGTCATTAGAGGTCATTAAAATTCAATTTGATTTTATTTTAGGAATTTCGATCACTAATTAGGCGTGCACCCAAAAAATTGGAAGATTTGAACCAAAAATGGAGGCAGGCCCCCCCCCCTCCCCCTACATCAAATGTGCCAACTCCACCATCCCCTTTCTGAAATATACGGCCTAAATAAAGTTATCATAATGTTAAAAGAAAAACTTAAAATTTGAAAAATAAGCCACCCACCTTGCTGTTCCCTTGTTCCAACCACATCCAGATAACAATTAAGATCTGATTTGGTCAGAGAATAGAATAGAATAGAAGGAGGGTGGTATAGAATAGAGAAGAGAATAGAAGCCGGATATATTTGAAATGGATCATTGCCTCGGTCACATTATATTTCGCCTCGTATTTGTTTCTTAAAATGTAAGAATATACATTTTACTTATTCATATTTTGATGTTTCTAAATTATTTATGCATGAACATTTCTAAAAATATATTCTAAACCTACAATGCTACCGATCTAAAAGTTTACAACCAAAAGCTAAAAAATGATGGATTATTTTTTAGACGGAATGGCGCCTTAATTCTTTCCAGTTGATTTATTGTTATTTTTGTTTCTCGACAGTTATAAACTTTTTATTTCTAAACTTTAGTTTTATTCCTTTCAGTTTCTTCAACTATATTTTCTTCTTACTTAAGGTTTAAACTTTGATCTAAGTATTAATCAAACCTCCCTCCTCTTTCTGGTCCCCCCCCTCAGGTCTCTACTCCCCCCCCCCAAACTTTGAAACTCCCTCCCCCTTGAACTCTCAGCCCTTTCAACCTCGTTTATAACAAGAATCGGTGGACACAAGTTCTCTTCTTAGTTTAGTTTACTCTTTAAACTTTCTTCCATTTGATCTTTCCCCTCCATACTTCCCCCTTCCTCCTCCTTCCATAAACCCTTTCTCAATTAGCTCTCCTTGTTAAGGAACACCCCTCCCTCTTCCTTGCAAGTTTAATCCAATCAAATCTTTAGCTCTTTGGAATTATGTAATTAAACATCTTTTTTTACAAGTTATCATTTGTGAAAACTGATGTATGTACTAGATAACTTACATGGTTTGTGTACTTGGAACGATCGAAGGTCAGTTGTACATGTATTCATCAGTACATTTGATATTTTCTGGACTGTTTAAAGTCCATTCCTTGGGTTAACCCTCGTCGGAGGTAGGTGGAGGGGGGGGGGGTAGTGCGCCATTTTTAGCCTTAATTATCCCAACTCCAACTTGATTATTTCTCCCCTATTTGGGAGGGTTTTTNTTCCCCCCCCCCCCCTCCCGGCCCTGCCCTTAGCCCAGGTTTATTCCTCAATAAAAAGTTTAGTAATATGATATTGTTTTCATATTGTACAAACTTAGGATCCCCTCGATCTATCTATCTATCTATCTAATATTTATATACCCTCTTGAAAGTTCAACTATTCCCTGCTCCTTAACTTGAAAACAACGTATTTTCTCCATGTTTAGTATATATTTGAGAGACATGTCTGTTCTTTAAAGGATCAACCAACCTGAACACTGAACAGACAGAGACATATTTCTGAACACATTCTCAGCAAACTTATTTAACAGAAAGGATTGTTACTTGTACTACATTTTTAAATTGTCTTGATCTTTTTTCATTCAGTTTAATCTGTCACAAAAGTTTTGAATTATCTATATGTTAAAATCAAAGCTTTAAACTTAATAAGTTGATCTAAATCTATTAAATAGATATATTTAACTGAAATATTTTATTTTAGAGTACGATGCTCCTAAGAAGAACCTAGTTGCCTCCTTGCCTCCTGAAAGTTCAAGTTTTAAGGAGTTACCCTTAGGAGTCAAACTAGCACAGATCCTACCACCTTACAAGTATATATATCAATATTTTTGATAAGATTATTATTATAATTATTATTATATTATTATTATTATTATTATTATTATTTTTAGGTTTTGGAACTTCAAGCTACAGCAGTTAAACTCAGCGTATATAAATTTCGGGTTTAATATACCAAGAGGAGCTTCCATAGGTAACATTACGAGTTAATAAGGTCTTTACAAAGCTTTTAATAAGAAAATACATTTCCCATATTTCATTCCAATTTTCTAGAGAATAACGGAATTGAGTTTTTGTCACTAACTCTGATTTTCTTATCCCTTTATCTTTGTATTTCAATGTCAGAGATCTTAGATAATAATAATAGTTTGAAATATCACCATCAGGTTGAAAAGATATAGTGATTTGAAAATCAGAATTTTTGGCGAAAACTCAATTCCTTTGAACAAACAAAAGTCAAAGTAAGAGCAAAAACTAGTTTTGAACAGAGATGGAGAATGTTGTAAAAATAATTTTCCCAATAAAATTCTGATTTCTGATTGAGCTTTCACAAAACTTTTATTTTATTTCAGTTCTATTCAATAAACAGTTTTCTAAATCTTTATTCTTTATTACATTTTGAAAACTCCCTATTCCAGGATTGTATGCCAGACGGAATGCTATCCCTACGATCACCACCAATGATATCAGAGATGTGCTGAAAGGATTTCGCGAAAAGAGATCGGTAAGTTTTCCGCAATAAACTTAGTTTTTCAAAATTATTCAAATTAAAAATTTGACAAGTGTCACCATCTACATATATCAGTCAATTATTTTATTACAGACTGAGTTGTCGCTGTCGAAGTCTCTAAGCTACTACCTGGAGGCCGGTCACTGGTTTATCTCTCTCTACAACGACGACAGTGAACCTCGACAGGTCAGCTGTATTCTTATATCAGACATTTGTTTATTTTCTAGTATTTGTCAAGTTTTTGTGCTGTCAGGTTCTAGTTTTAATATTATTCAGCGTGACATTCATTTGTTTACATTGTCAACAGCCTTGTTCAACGTTATTTCAATATCATTCTTGGCAGACCCCTANATCCCATTCCACTTCAGCGTGACATTTCCCGGTGTGATTTGTTAGCGGGCTGGGTTTAGGTTTAGAGGATTATGTGCCAAGCTTGTTCTAAAGAGTTGTAAATAAATATAAACTGCTGGCTTGGACAAAACAATTCTTCATTTCTCTTTCAGGGATAAAATTCAGAAGTTTTTGTTGTATTATATTAGGTTCTGCAAACAGAATTTTTTCCCCGAAATATTACAGCTTGTTATTGATCGTCTTTGCGGCAAAAATTCACGTCTTACTCTTTAGAAAAGCTCCAGCAAGAGATTAAGAGTTTTTAAATAGAGAAACAAAAATATCTCCGTAATCGACCTCACAATTACAATTGTTCAAATTACATCCTCGTGAATGGCTAATGAATGAATGACCGTCCGTTTTAAACACTTTTTTCTGACCTGAACAATGTTTTAGATTGAGTTAACCGCCAGTATTCGACTTGACCTAAGCTCAGGGTGTCCCAAGGGATGTGGAGGTCATGGTGATTGTGTGTCAGGCTCGTGTGTCTGTCACAAGGGTTTCGTTGGCCCGGACTGTATGCAGAGTAAGTATATTTGTTAAATGGACCCAGTTTTAGTTTGTTGAAAAATAAATATATACATATTATATGAGAAGTTGTTCAAAATTGGTAATTTTCATCCCTTATCAGTATCTTTTGATGATTCAGTGAATAATTCGCCTTTAGATGTGATAATTATAATTTTTATCTATATGTACACTGTACACTGAACAGGTACGTGTCCAGTTTTGTGCAGTGGGAACGGTGAGTACAGAGATGGAGCATGTAACTGTTTCCCAGGCTGGAAGGGTGTTGAGTGCTCAATCAGGTACAAAGTGTGTTTGTTTTTTAAGTGTTTACTTTGGGATCAATGTGTTTTGGATTGTTTTGTGCTAAAGTAACACGTACTTTTATAAATGTTATGGATTTGTTTGATCGGTTATATCACTATTTTGAAGGCGTATAATTAGAAAAGGATGAAGTTGGAGATAAGAAGGTGGAGAGGAAAGGATCGAAGAGTTATCTAAACTTGGGAAAAGTAACATAATGCAGATATTTCTCTCCCTCTATCCACTACCCCCCCTCCCCTTTATATCCAACCCCTGGTCTCTGATATTGGTTTGCTCTGATCAAATGTCCTCTAAGTTTAAGCTAACTTTACCACAAGTCTTAAACTTAAGAAACTCAAGTACTGCATTGGAAATTTAATTTATGAATTTAAGAATTAATGAATGATAGGATGAATGAATGAATGAATGAATGAATGAATGAATGAATGAATGAATGAATGAATGAATGAATGAATGAATGAATGAATGAATGAATGAATGAAAGGATGAATAAATGAATGAATAAATATTTGTCTAGGCATAATGAATGTGAGGTTCCTGACTGTAACAACCATGGTGAATGTCAGGCTGGAGTGTGTGTCTGTTCCCGTGGGTATACAGGACTATTCTGCCAACAAGGTAAAATTAGAAAAGATTGTATAAAAGTATCTCTGATAAATGAAACAATGACCAAACAACAGTTTGGAAAATGTGAATTACTGCAACCATATGTGATATATACATCCATTGTGTGGTTTTTTACCTTGTACTTGAAAAATGAGTAAGAAACAACTAGTGTAACAAAGCTTCTATGTATTTGAGCAAGGTGTGAAGTGAAATATATTAAATTTATTGAATATATTAGACATATTAAGGAAAATAAATGAAAAAAGGAACACAAAAAGGTTTATATATTTATTCATGAAAAGGAATATTATAAAAGTTGGAAAGAAGATTATATTTCTCTGAACTGCCTAATTTTTATGATTTGTTGGTTCTTGCCAGCAATAACAGTATTATAAACTCCTTAGCCCAGTATACTGATAAAGTTAACTTCTTAACCCAGTACACTAATATAGTAAACACCTTAACCGAGTACAGTAATATAGTAAACTTCTTAACCCAGTACACTAATATAGTAAACTCCTTAACCCAGTACACGAATATAGTAAACTCCTTAACCCAGTACACTAATATAGTAAACTCCTTAACCCAGTACACTAATACAGTAAACTTCATAACCCAGTACACCAACATAGTAAACTCCTTAACCCAGTACACGAATATAGTAAACTCCTTAGCCCAGTACACTAATATAGTAAACTCCTTAACCCAGTACACTAATACAGTAAACTTCATAACCCAGTACACCAATATAGTTAACTCCTTAACCCAGTACACGAATATAGTAAACTCCTTAGCCCAGTTTACTGACATAGTAAACTTCTTAACCCAGTATACACTTATATAGCAAACTCCTTAGCCCAGTACACTGATATAAATAACTCCTTAACCCAGTACACCAATATAGTAAACTCCTTAACCCAGTACACGAATATAGTAAACTCCTTAGCCCAGTATACTGACATAGTAAACTTCTTAACCCAGTATACACTTATATAGCAAACTCCTTAGCCCAGTACACTGATATAATTAACTCCTTAACCCAGTACACTGATATAATTAACTCCTTAACCCAGTACACTAATATAGTAAACTCTTTAACCAAGAACACCTTGTAAACTCCTAAACTAAGAACACCTATCAAAGTTTTATGACAAAGCACACTCTGAATGTTCTACCATAGAAATTCAAATTTTCTTTCCTTGTTTATTCCTTATATATATCTTGCTGTATGTTGTTATTTGGTAGGATTATTTGAAATATTGGTGAAGGGTATGGGGGGGGGGGAAAAACCCCTCTCCTGTCGGTCCCTAGGGCCGAGGGTATGAGGGAATTTGTTCAATGATACCTCTACACGCTATAGGGAGATTCTAAATTAGTTACTTTAGTTTAAGGTGTTTTATCATTGCAAGATATATCTTTTCAAAATGTTATTTTTTTTGTTCGATTAGTTAGCACATAACAGATACATTTCTCATATCTAGACTTATATAGTTTTTTAAACACTCTTAATATTATTTAGATAAGCAAATAAAAATAAAAATAAAATTCTGGGAAAGTATAAAACGGTGTGGGAAAGGACCTTCATGAAGGGATTTAGGGTTAGGAGTAGATGAGGGTGGTGGGTGGGGGGGAGTTTATTTAATCTATAGTTTATGCAGAGAATAAATTGATTAATCTCCTCTTTTATCAAACTCATTAAAGAAACTTTGTTCTCTCTTATTTATTAGGAAACTTGCTTTATTAGAATAATACAAGATTTTAAGTAAAAGGATTATTTATATTTCCAAAACCGTGAAGTTTTTTGTTGTTTTTTTATTAGAAAACTTGTTTTATTAGAATTATACAAGATTTTAAGTAAAAGGATTATTTATATTTTCAAAACCGTGAAGTTTTTTGTTTTTTTTTTATTAGAAAACTTGTTTTCAAGTAAAAGGATTATTTATATTTTCAAAACCGTGAGGTTTTTTGTTTCCATTTTAGACACTATCTTTTTTTCTCATGGAATAATTATGTTGCTATCATGTTATCTATTGAATTTCCCCTGCAGGCTGCCAAGCTATCTACTGCTGGCAGGAATGTGTATCTATGTTGTTTTTAATCCCTGGATATCTGTTTATTTTCTACTCTCTCTAGCTTCGCACAAAGGCCAGGATGGGATTTTAGAGACGACTGTGCAGAATTTATTAAGTCTTTTTTTTTAAATTTATGATTCCCTGAAGCTGGATTTTGTTTCCGTTGTAACCAATTCATTAAAATACCACCAAAACACAATTTGTTGGGGAGAAACTCATGTTATAATTGCTCTACCTTAATATGTTTAGGTCTTCATTAAATTCTCATTCTTAGTGAACATTCCCTGTACACAACACAATATCAGATTTAGGAGTAAATACGAAATTACAAATTCAGTTCTCTCGGTTTATACCCATTTAGCATCCTATTCCACGTTTTCTTGTTCTAAACTCTTCAAAATATTTAACGAGCTAAATCCGTCCATTTAATATTCCAGGAACTTTTGTTTTTTTTTTAGATCTTTTTTTTGATTTTGAACTTTTTTATTAAGTATCTTTCAAAACTTTTCGAAGACTAGAAATTGTTTAAAATTGGCTAGGATTGGTAAACTTTTGGAAAGTTGGATTTTTTTTTACAAATTGGTCTTGCACAACAAGGTTTTAAAAATCAGACGAACTTTTTATCTCATTTTTGCTCTTGTTAATATTTGGACTGTACTCGTGAAGATATAGCTTTCTGTATTTTTATGTCATTTGTTATTCTGTCCAGGCCTAAGGGCAGAGGGTCTTGTAGGATTTGGTTAATTACTCCCTACTCTTATTCACATCACATATATCTAGTACTCCGCAGTACTCCTCATGCTATANGTAAAAAAAACAGTATCAGAATACTTTGTCTGCTTGGATTTGGAGAAATATTAGTCTAATTAATGGAAGAAAAAGATCCATCTAAAGGAATCTAATCCTGAGAAAAGCCAATATTCCAATCTGGAAAACTATTTGGAATAGTCCAGATATCCATTTATCCAAACAAAGGTTTCGCAGATTAAATCTTTTGACGTCGAAAGCTCAGATGTGGGTTCTCATATATTTTCGTTTGATGAATCTTGAATTATTTTGTATTTCCAACCATACACGCGGTTATTTTCTTTCAAGTTAGGTTTTCTTTTCATCCGCAAAAAAGGAAACAATTCCAGGTTTGAGTTTTTTTATTAAACCTAACATTTCCACCAAAATTTTTTAATAAAAAAATTGAATTTTGTTTCTGGTATTAAGCATGTTTTGTTTCTTCATGTGTGATGTTGAAAGCCTGATCATATATTCGGTTTTCTACATATCCTAGACCATATTCATGATCAAACCTGCATTTACTTCAACAACAGGAATTCATTCTAGAAAAAAACTTATTATTTTTTATCTTTTTTTGTAAAATCAACATTGAATGTTTGAAGATTTCCCCTGTTAACCAGGGCTAAGCAAACTTTGCCCGGAAAGTAATTTGAAAGTTAGACCAAAGTCAGTTCTAACTAATTTCAGTTGGATTAGTCAGGGTTCACGGTTCTTCCATATTATATTCTCAAGATAATTAATAAAAAATAAGATTTTTTTCTTTAATGGAGATTGGGTTAAAATTTCAATCAGTAGAATAGAATATAAGCTGTTCACTCAACTATAAAATCAAATCTCCGACTTTTATGATATTGAAAATGTTTTAGGCGTATAGTATGGTTCTTGGAAAGAAAGGAAATCTTTATTACAGTGATTGTTATAAACTGAAAAATACCTTGTGCAAAACTTTGTGGAACACTGTACAAAGTGCATGATCTTAAACCTTAAGTGCTTCCATTGTTTTATTAATGAAAAAGAAAAGAAAACATTCTTCTTGCAATGTGCAAGTTTAAATAAAAAATTGCACTTTATGTCAAAGGACCACGATAAATAATTTTGGTGTTTATAATATAGTTCTGATATTTATATATTGTGTTTTCTCCAATGCTCAGGGTCCATTCGATTTTGATGCGGATCCGGATCCTGGATCGGTCCCGTAGAAAATTAATTTAGATCCATCTCATTAGTAATTCTTTAAGCTATAAGTTCTATAACTGAAGGAAAAAATCTGCAAAAAGTGTGTCTTATGTTGTGAATTCTAAATAAGTTGTTTATTTCTATAATATGGTAAAGGAATTCTTGACACTGCCTATATAGGGTTACTCGGTCTCCTTTAATCCAATTTGCAGAAAGTTCTGTGTTTGCACAACATTTGTGTAAATTTGAGTGCACCAAAGTTCATTTTGAATTCTAGCCTGCTATTGTAGCAATGTTTCTTCCAAGATTTTGCAGAAGAATTTCCCCCAGGTTTACTAGGTTTTCTCGCAACAAGTTTAGAAAATTTACATTTAACATAAACTTGTGAATTGATGGAATTGTAAAAAACAAATACCGTCCTGGGTTTAGGTTTGTGGTGATTTTTGTTGAATACTCATTTATGAAGCTCCTCTTGCCAACCTGGTTCAGCAGTTTTAATAAATGTTGAAAGTTTTCCACCAAGTAGGGTAGAGTGGATGGATGGAGAGAAAATAGCTAAATATATATAATGCAAATCCTTCCAAGAGTTATGCTTCCTCTGCTTTCTCTGAGCCCAGACACAATCCTTAACAATCCTTCTCTAGTCCTACCCTGAGATTAGGATAATTCTTCCGGATCCGACCAACACATAATTTGTTTCAATTTACTGTAGCCTCTGTACCAACTATATTTGATCATTGATCCATATTAGTCCAAATTAATGAGCTGGTCCCTGATAAGGGTTAACGCCTCAAAAGCGGGGAAGGGGTCCATGTAATGCCGGGGGGAGGAAGCTAGGGGGGCTGTGAATCACCGACAGGCCTTTTTTGAATTTTAAAAAAATCTGTGAAGTCAAGATATTTTTAGAATTCGAATCGAAGTTGAAAGAAATTGAACGAGGAAGGCCCCCCCCCCCTCCCCAGATTTTTGGGGTTAAAGTTTACAATGCCCAATAAATTTCTTAATAGTCAGAAGCTTATTATTGCTAAAGTTGGATTGATTTACAAGGCAATAATAATAAAGAATATCAATAAACAATGATTATCAATTCAGACAGAAAGCTCAGATTCAGCATTGGTCTAGCAATAAGTTAAAAAAAAAAAACAATAAAAAAATTACCTGACCTAATCCAGGTCTTTGCAAGTTTTCAAAAACTTTGTCAACGATCTTAAATTGATTTATTATGATAAATCATAAATGAATTCTTTTTAGTTGACTGTGCTGACCCAACCTGCTCAGGACGTGGTAAATGTCTGCATGGAGAATGTCACTGTACCCGAGGTTGGACTGGAACTAGTTGTGAGAAGAAGGAAGTGCTCCAGGTACATTTAAAAAAAAAATTTTAAGGGTAATATAAAATAGAATATTTTAAGATAGAAAAACGACGATATCTTACTCATTGTTTCGGATAGAATCGGACAAGCCACCCGTAAAATTAAGTTACAGTCCCTTTAATAATTTCTCTGGTTTGTTGATTGAAGATGAATACTAAATTGAAGTAGTAGTCTACACTCTACAGCACTAATGATGAAGATTGAAGGTACTCACCTTCCCAGCTTTCATCTCTAACTCAGTATAAAAGAAAAGAAGGAAAATAAAGCAAGCACTCTCAAAATTATCTTCAGGAAACTTGAGAATAATTTTAAAATGGAGTCAAGGAAATTAGATAAGATTAAAATCTAATTTCAAATTTATCTTCGGCATAGAATTTTTATTTTTCTCTATCTCTTCTTCAATTTTAAAACCGATTAAATTCAGGCGTGCCCGCAGACCTGCTCCCAACACGGGGTGTGGGATATACAGCTCGGGGTGTGCAGGTGTGATCCAGGGTTCATTGGAGTAGACTGCTCGAAAGGTAACTTTTCAATATTATTATAATTATCATTGTCATTGTCTTTATCTTTGCTATTGACATTGCCATTTTCATTGTCATTGTCATTGTCATTGTAATTGTCATTGTCATTGTCATTGTCATTGTCATTGGCATTGTCATTGTCATTGTCATTGTCATTGTCATTGTCATTGCCATTGTCATTGCCATTGTCATTATTATTGAATGGAAATTTCTGATATCTACTCATTTGTTTGCAGGGTATAATTTATATTTAACACGAGGGTATTAAATGTAATGATTGATTGAATGTCCATTAATCATGCTATAATGAATATTAATTCCTCTAATCTGCTCTCATAAATATTAATCTGTTTTGAGTGTATTTCTGTTTACCCGCGGCGAGTGTACTAGAATCTTGTATCTACATATTTGTACTTTTGTTGATTTTACTAAGCTCTGTTTTTATTTTTTTCTATTATTTTCTATTTTCTAATCTTAATATTTTATTTTAAGTTTAAAACTAATATTTTCGCTCTCTTTCATAGATTAAATAAACAAACTGGCGACTGTGTTTTTTCTTATCAACATTTTGTTGTAGCACAGTCGATTTCGTTCAACTATTTAACTGCACATTTAATTTTTTTTATTTTCTTTCTTAGAAATATTAATTAAATGAGACGCGATTTTCTTTTAAATGTCTTCTGTAAATTATGAATTAATTTTAAGCATTGAACTTTTTGCAGTTTATTGGCGTAATATAAAGAAAGTAAATGTGTCTTTGAACCATCTCAAATTTTCTTATCCCTATATCTGTAAAACCGGATGGTGCAAACCTTACATATTTAGTTTAAACTTAGATTACTTGATCAAGGATTAGAGAATTAGAGTTTGTGGAAAAGATTTAATTACTTTACCAATTTTAATTACATTTTTGAGGAATGTAAACACTGCAGTACACGGAAATATTTGGAGGCTCTTGCTTTTGCGACTGTTTCCATCTTTAGCCCCCCCCCCCCTCCCTTATGAGGCCCTCGACTTAGAATTTGAATTTAAAATGAAGTATTTTCAAAACTTCTGAACTTTAAAACTTTTACCTTTAAATTCATTCGTCTCCCGATATATCCTGGTATTATATATGTATATATATATATATGTATATATGTATATACATAGATATAGATGTACTATTTACCTTCCTGCTTCGTTTACACCTTTCTGGCTCATTCTTCCTTCCCCTTATTCTTCCTACTTCTTTCCCTAAGTACTGCATACTTCCTTTCCTTGTATATGCTTCGTTTTTTTCTTATAATTGTCTACCTTTTATTATACTTCCCTACCTTTCAGATACTTTCCTTTCTTTCTTATAATTGTCTACCTTTCTTTATATTTCCCTTCCCTTCAGATACTTTCCTTTCTGTCAGATACTTTCCTTTTTTCAGATTCTTTCCTTTTTCTTATAATTGTCTACCTTTCTTTATACTTCCCTACCTTTCAGATACTTTCCTTTCTTTCAGATACTTTCCTTTCTTTCTTATAATTGTCTTACTTCCCTACCTTTCAGATACTTTCCTTTCTTTCAGATACTTTCCTTTCTTTCTTATAATTGTCTACCTTTCTTTATACTTCCCTACCTTTCAGATACTTTCCTTTCTTTCAGATACTTTCCTTTCTTTCTTATAATTGTCTGCCTTTCTTTATAGTTCCCTTCCCTTCAGATACTTTCCTTTCTTTCAGATACTTTCCTTTTTTCAGATACTTTCCTTTTTTTATATACATATATATAACTATACATAGATATAGATGTAAATATAGATGTAAAGGAATTGAGTCTTTGCAACCCAATGTCGCAGACCTTAGATATTTCAAACTATGAATTATGCTGGATCATATAAATTAAGTTTGAAATATCACAGGTTTACACCATCAAGTTTTAAAGATATTAGGATTAAGTAAATCTGTGTTTGAGGCAAAGACTCAATTTCTTTAGATATATATACAGATATAAATATATATAGAGAGATATAAAGATATATAGATGTAGAGATATAGAGATATAGAGATATAGAGATAAAGAGATATAGAGATATAGAGATATAGAGATAAGCGATGTAGAGAAAAGCGATATAGAGATAAGAGTTATAGAGATAAGAGATATAAACTATGAGATATAGAAATATAGAGAGAGAGAGAGACAGAGATATATTGGATATATCTAACATTCTATTTTACATATGTATTCTACTCTGGTATTTTGCCTAGCTAAGTTTTCTAATGATTATACTATTTATCTAGATGTAAAAACATCAATACATCTTGATGTAACATGCTGTATCATCATCTTTAACCTATTCAGTTAACCATCTACCCAGTATATTTATATATATATTTTCAGGGGTAATTTTCAAACTTTTTTAGGGTGAAAATAAAATGATTTTTCCGCAATATGGATTTTTTTGGAAAGAGTATCACCCCTGTCTTTTTATTCCACTATAATTTCACATGTTTTGAAGTACATAGACAATTTAATCTGAAGAATGTGTATATAGGGGCTCTGATAAAATATCAATTTTATCTCAAGTAATTCTAGTGGAAATATAGTTCATCTAGTTATTTCGTTATCTCACATGAAACTAAATTGAAATCTTTCAGTTTGTTCAATCACAGTCCTTTAATTGAATAGTCATTGAGAAGTATAAAAACATTTTGAATATCTAACATGTAACCAAATAAATTTGCTTTTATCATACTTTTGCATATCATCAAAATTAGAGGACATTCAGAGTCACTTTCTCCTACTGCCTAGTTTGCAGTGATCTAGTTTTTTACTTATTTATTTATCTACATATTTACCTTTTCGTTTATCTTGTATTTATCTATTTATTTACCTACATATTTACCTTTTCGTTTATCTTGTATTTATCTATTTATCTATTTATCTATTTATCTATTTATCTAGTTATCTAGTTATCTATTTATCTATTAATCTGTTTATCTGTTTATCTGTTTATCTATTTATCTATTTATCTATTTATCTATTTATCTATTTATCTATTTATCTATTTATTTATCTATTTATCTATTTATTTATCTATTTTTTATCTTTCTAACTCTATCCATTAATCTTCTATCTTTTTTTCTGATTATTTATTTATTTTTTATCTATTTATCTATCTATCTATCTATCTATCTATCTATCTATCTAGTTAACTGTCCCCTCTGTATATCTAACTATAAAGCTTCTCTAATTCGATTGATGTCGGAGCTGCAAAAATAAACTAATTATTGATATTTCTATCTATTTATCTTCCTATCCATCTATATATTTTATCAATCAAGTTAAGCCAATACATCTCTTTAAATTACACATTTATCCTTCAATTGGAGAAATATATATTTTTAACCAAGAGTCCTGCTTTTTGTGGATATAACAAAAATAATTGAAAACGTCATAAGTAAAGTTTTTTTTTATGTTTTACTCTTTTATTTATGCGCCGTTTATCAGTTTTTTTAGTTTAAATTTAGCATTATTTTAAATCCGTTTAGAGCGCTGTAGCCTGGATTGTGGCGAGCACGGCGAGTGCGAGGGAGGATCCTGCTCCTGTGCGCCTGGTTGGAGTGGAGCGCGTTGTACTGTACGTGAATGTGATCCACGTTGCAGTGCGCACGGCAGTTGTTCCAACGGTACATGTCTATGCACAAACGGATGGAATGGAAAGCACTGTACTTTGGAAGGTAATATCAACAGTAATTGTTCATTTGAATATTTTGATCCTGATCCTGATTTTTATTAAATTATTAAAAAAATCAAGTGATTGATTGATTGCTTGTAGGTTGTCCCGGTAACTGTGGAGGGCACGGTACATGCAGTACAAGCTACGAGCTGGCCTGGGAGTGTATGTGTGAGAGTGGTTGGTACGGTCCTGGGTGTGATATTCAGCTGGAGAATAGCTGTGATGACAGGATCGATAACGACAAAGGTTAGTTTTCATTCAAGATCTGCTTTCTGGCGGAAAAATATAAATTTGTGATTTCTCTTCTAAATTTTGTTAGATTATTTTCCTCGAATTATAAACTAAAAATTAGATGGAGTATCGTTGTAACTTCAAATGACTCTCCATGCGAAGAAGGAAATGCCTAATGTCTTCATGACCTTGTTGTTAATTTGGAATCTAAATCGTCGTGTTTCCAGCTGGAAATCTGTTTAATTCGGGGAGTTTTTCCATTGTTTCTGGAAGCAGAAATGCACAAATAAATGCCATTGACAACCCCCATAGATATTGGATTGTTCATATATTCTCAATGCGACAAAGCTGTTAAGGGTACTGTTGTGTATCGGACATGCCTCTCGGTAAATAGAAATCATAATTTTTACAATTATATAATCGAAAAACATAATAATTTACGAAAATGAGGGTTTATCTATCTATCTTTCTATATCATATTTTAAACTTCTCCTCTTCGACCCGGTACCCATATCTTCTTTCTAATCTAATCTACAGCTCAGAGTTCCACTATTCTCAACTTTATTCTGCTCTCTGCCAGTCTAACTAGCTTTCTTCAATATACAAAGTATTTTAATTTACTTTTCCATGCATTTTGTTTATATTTCACAGATTTTAAAATAGCTCTTTTCGTTATAACTTTAAAAGTTTTCTGAATAAAGATTGAATATTGAAACTTACTTTTTCATGGTAAATTTACTCCATTAGAAATATTAAAAATGAAGATTATTTACGTCATTTTTATAATCTGAATTGAGAAAAGATTAAATTTTCCGATGATTTTTGTTGAATCATGTTAATTTGATTTAGAAAGTTATAACTTTTCAATTCGAATTATGTATATGCTGTTATTAAATAACTCAATAAATTTTCAAGTAGTTGTTAATATTTCCTCATATATATATATCTCCATGTTGCCATCTATCTCCTCATATATCTCTCTTCTTGAGTATATATTTCACTGAGTTTTCTTCTCAGGGGAAATTTGGTAAAAACATACTCTTCCATCCATCCCTTAATTCATTCTTTAATACTTTCTTCCTTTCTTCCATCCATCCTTTCATCCATCTTTAATACCTTCTTCCTTTCTTCCATCCATCCCTTAATTCATTCTTTAATCTTCCATCCATCCCTTAATTCATTCTTTAATACTTTCTTCCTTTCTTCCATCCATCCTTTCATCCATCCTTTAATTCTTTCTTCCATCCATCCTTTAATGCTTTCTTTCATCCATCCTTTCATCCATCCTTTAATACTTTCTTCCATCCATCCTTTCATCCATCCTTTAATACTTTCTTCCTTTCTTCCATCCATCCTTTAATTCATCCTTTAATACTTTCTTCCATCCATCCTTTCATCCATTCTTTAATACTTTCTCTCTTCCCTCCATTAAATAATAATTTTTTCCTTACTTCCATCCATTAATACTTTTTCTTCAATTCATTAATACTTTTTTCCTTTCTTCCATACGTCCTTTCTTCCATTCATTAATACCTTCCTTTCTTCCATCCATTCTTTCATCCATTCATAAATACTATGTTCCTTTCTTCCATTCATCCTTTCATCCATTCAATAATCATTTCTTCCTTTCTCCCTTCCTTCCTTTCATTTTTCAGCTTATCAGTTATTATTTCATTTCTTTATTTTTTCTCTCTTTCATCCATTAATTATCTTAACCTTCAATCCTTTCATCCATTCACTCGTCCTATCCATCCTAAACATTCTTCCGCTCATCCAATCATTCCTCTCTTTTTATTTAACCAAACCCTACTGCTAACCAGTTTCTGCCATGTTTTCCATCCAATCCCTCCTTTATATTCAATCAATTATTCATTAAACGTATTCCAATTTCCTAAATTATATATAGTTAAAAACAGGTTTAACCTTTTAATATTGTATTCAAGGTAATGAACATCAGCCTCGGAATATTTGCATTATTAAGCTATATTCATAAAGGCAATTCATTATCTTTTTATTAAGATTTTTTTGTATCTTAAAACGAGATTCAATCTAAAATGGTGGAAGGGTTTCCGGTAATAAGATTATTTTTAGTAAAAAACATGTTTTTTTTCAGTGTAAAAGAAATCTTGTTTTGAAAAACATCATCTTCAGTGCTTATTTTTTAAACTTTTGGTATTTTTTCACCTGGTAACTTTTAAATTGACGATGTGAGTTATGCTCATTCTCTCCAAGTAGGGATTTAGATACTCCTTAATGGTTTCTCTAATTGTTTGTCTATTGTCTATTGGTGCAATGATGTGAACAAATGGTAGTATTTCTCTACATGGGTTGCTCTAACTAGTATTTCTTTAGATAAGTTTATTTAACTTGTATTTCTCTAGATGGGTTGGTTTAACTCGTATTTCTCTATATGGGTTGGTTTATTTGTATTTCTTTAGATAGGTTGATTTAACTTGCAATATCTGTAGATGGGTTTAACTTATATTTTTCTTGATAAGTTTACTTAACTTGTATTTCTTTAGTTGGGTTGGTTTAACTTGTATTTCTAGATGTGTTTGTTTAACTTGTATTTCTCTAGATAATTTTATTTAACTTGTTTTTCTCTAGATGGGTTGGTTTAACTTGTATTTCTCTAGATTGGTTGGTTTAACTTGTATTTCTCTAGATTGGTTGGTTTAACTTGTATTTCTTTAGATGGGTTGGTAAACTTGTATTTCTCTAGATCATTTTATTTAACTTGTATTTCTCTAGATGGGTTGGTTCAACTTTTATTTCTCTAGATGGGTTGGTTTAACTTGTATTTCTCTAGATGGGTTGGTTTAACTTGCATTTCTCTAGATTGGTTGGTTTAACTTGTATTTCTTTAGATGGGTTGGTTAAACTTGTATTTTTTCAGATGGGTTGGTTTAACTTGTATTTCTCTAGATGGGTGGGTTTAACTTGTATTTCTCTAGATTGGTTGGTTTAACTTGTATTTCTCTACATGGGTTGGTTTAACTTGTATTTCTCTAGATGGGTTGGTTGACTGTGAGGACCCAGAGTGCTGTGAATCTCCGGTCTGTGAACGATCTCAACTTTGTCACACGGTTTCATCTCCTATAGATATATTGCTCAGGTATAGAGATTTATTGCTAAACTATAGAAATGCACTGCTCATTTACGTAAAATATTGAGTTCTCAAGGATTTTTGAGGGGTTTCTGTAAGATTTACATACCATACTAGACAAAAAGAATATAATCTATTTTCTAAATCTTCCATCGACTGTGTAATCTATCTATCTATTTGCATATTCTGTATCCCTTGAAACTCGATCTAAATCTAATTTATCGGTTGAACCTAAAGTTTATAAATTCTAATTGAATCTATTGACAGTTGATTATATGCCAAGTTAGATTTAACTCTCTAATGGATTTAATGTTAGTTTTGGATTCAAACTCAAATATGTAACTACATCTCTGCATATGATTATTAATCCTGGGTCTTGAAATAACTTTATTGGCACTACTCATTGAAAACAAAATATACAAATTTTATTTCCTTTTTTTCTGAAGAATGCACATATTTAATTTAGAGCAATTTGTTCTAAATATTTTTGCCTTAAAGCAAAGACAGTAACTTTAAATATGATCAAGATATACAATATACTAAATAATTTACATTTTAATCAAATTCTTTAAGATTTCCTGAAAAGTTGTAATTAAACTTTAAGGAGTGCATTCTTTAACTAACACAAGATTATTTTTCTTCTTATCATTTTATCACATTTTTGTTGCTTTTTCAAATTGTAAATGAACATTTTTTTTAAAAAGTACACAGTTCTTAAAGGTTTTAGTTTTTAACAACTGTTTAAGTTACCCTTATATCTACAGAAAACATCTTTCTCTATGTACAGATAACAACTATATCTATGTACAGATAACAACTATACCTATGTACAGATAACAACTATATCTATGTACAGATAACAACTATTTCTATTTACAGATAACAACTATATCTATGTACAGATAAAAACTATTTCTATGTACAGATAACAACTATATCTATGTACAGATAACAACTATATCTATGTACAGATAACATTTATATCTATGTACAGATAACAACTATTTCTATGTTCAGATAACAACTATATCTAAGTACAGATAACAACTATATCTATGTACAGATAACATTTATATCTATGTACAGATAACAAATATTTCTATGTACAGATAACAACTATATCTATGTACAGATAAAAACTATTTCTATGTACAGATAACAACTATATCTATGTACAGATAACAACTATATCTATGTACAGATAACATTTATATCTATGTACAGATAACAAATATTTCTATGTACAGATAACAACTATATCTATGTACAGATAACAACTATATCTATGTAAAGGAAGCAGCCTCCCGCAATGACTGCACCGTTCTATGAGCGAATGCGATTTATAATCGAAGAAAATGGATTACAAAGCTACGCGCAGAAGATTGCATTCAACGAAAGGTAGGAGTTGTCTGGGTCCAGGGCCCTCAAACTAATGGATTGCTGGGCCCTTGAATTCTACTAAATGTTTAAAATTTCGGGGCCCATTCTTCAAGTGAAGCTTTAAAGGTTTCTACCGATTTTCTAACTTTGTTGAGCTCCATTTTGTATGTTCAACATTGTATCATTCCATTTCTGTGAAACTCATCTTCCAATCTATCTTGAGACTTATTTTTAATTGTTCCAAGCTTCGTTTCTTAATGTGTTATTACTGATGTGTCCCAACCGCACTTTTTTCTCCCTTTTCTCTTGATGTCACTTACACAGTCCAGAGCACACAAAAATACACAATATTGAGTTGGAGGGGAGGGAGGTGTGGAGAAAATTGGAGTTTTTATAATACCGTCGAATAATATTAAAAATAGCGTAAAATGTCTTAATTGTTTAATGTAGTGTACGTGAACGTTGTTTATGTGTTTGATTCGAGCTCTGCACCCCCCCCCCTTGGGCTGCCAACATGCTTACCCCTTCTCAACGTTTTTGCTTTCAATCTATATATGTTAAATTTCTAGAGGTGTGTTAGTATATTGTGGCGAGATTAAAGATTTATCAAGCAAATAAATCTTTTTTCTTGCTCACAGCTTGATCCGATGTTGAATGTACTAAATAGAGGTTGTGACGTAGTTTAATCATGAATGGAATATTTGGGAATATTTTCTAAAATTTCGGGTTTGCACATAACAAAAAAAAAGATATTACTTCACTGATGTAGATTTAGGAGCTGAGTGATTTTCTTTAAATAAAAAAATAGAAATATGTGGTGTTTTTGGGCCAAGAGCATTTGTCCCAAAAGACCAAGTTAAATTGTTTCTTTGTTGTCTTTTGGGACAAATAGTGTCAGTGACATTTTTAGCTCTGATTATCTTGATGTTCAATGTTAATTGTTGTTTTGTATTTCACTATGCAGTGTCTATTGGAGCAAATTTAAACCCCGGTAAGTCAAACAAAACCCAACCCGCCATTGTTGATCCATTCGGCCATATAAGACATTGCTAGCATCTCAAACTTATTTTTTAATCACTTTTTTATAAGTTTTAACACAGTTTGCAGAAGAAAAAAAGTAAAAAAACGACTGCTGAAATCATTTTAGGTATACAAAAATCTTGTGGAAAAGTCTAACACTTTTGAAAAATCATAGAACTGTATTTTAATATTTGATAAAAATTCAAAATTCTACCCAAATCCAACTGAAAAACTTGTGATAACAAAGTTTTGCTTCTGAATGCTTACATTCTTCTCGTTTCTTTAAATATTAGTGCTTTCTTTATAAAATTAAACATTTATCCTAAGAGGAATGAATCCAGCACTTTTAGATGATTTTTTAGAGATTAGCAAGAAGTTGCAGGATGAAATAAAGTTTAAATTCTGATCTTTGGATTTCTGAATTTCTCAAATTCTTGAATTCTTAGTTTTCTTTAGATCATCAAGATTTACAAATGTGGAAGTAAAAAATTAATTTAATTTTCTTGAAAAGGAACTGATTACTCGCTTAACCCTATCTCTGCTGGGGTACTTGAAAACCAGGATATGCTGGGGGGGGGTCAATTTGACCCCCCCCCTCTAAACCCCATGTTTGATGTCCAAATATGACAAATGATACATCATTAGAAAGCTCTTGTGTTCTACTTTTAGAATCTGCAAAAAAATTTGCAAATTTGCAAAAATTGAATATTTTATCGCAACATCCAGTTATATAGTAATAATTTTTGGAAAAAAAAAATTTTCCAAAAATGAAAAATTATACATTTTTGAAAAGCCCTTGAACATGCTATTTCAAATATGAAAAAAATTTTGCAAAATTTTAAATAACCTGATTTTTAATCAAGAAAAACTAAAAATGTGAAAATTTCCTTTGACAGGTTGTTTGCAAAAAATTTGCAATTTTTTTCGCAAAACTTGTGCAATTCGTTTCCTTATGTCAAAGGCTTTCCAAAAAGCTAAATTTTATCAAAATCTGACAAGTTTAAGTGTGTCAAAACAAAGATTTAGTTTGTTACAGGAAAAAGCAGTCATTCAGGCAGTGTGCCTGAGGACTCAGCCAGTTAGTATTAAAGCCCGGTTTTAGGCCTAAAAGGAGGGCTTTGGGTATGTAGGAAAAGTCAGAAAATTTTAACAGCCTCAGACGAATACTTTTTGAGTTATGTAAAAAAAATCTACAGGGGGGGGTCAAATTGACCCCCCCCCCCCCAGCAGGAATAGGGTTAAAACTTTTAATACTATTATCTTTGCAACCTTTAAACTATGAATTATTCAAAATAAAATATAGTTCTAGGTAAGTAATCAGTTCCTTTGCATGAATTGCATAAACTATTTATTAAACAGCTGAAAATAACATAAAAATGTTGGATTCTGTTTGGTTTTATGTAAACAAAAAAATTCAAAAATGTTTAATTTCATGCAACCCAAACCTGCTGTATCATTCAGTAGCGTTCTATATCAAAGCAGGGGTGTATTTACTAAAATGGGATAGAAATTAAATTTAAAGCATTTTTGCAGATTTAACTTTATTAAAGGGCTCCTTAAAAATCGGATAAATTATATTGTCACAAAAGAAAATTGAAATAATTCTGAATGTTTTATAAACACCCCTGTATTCATGATAGATGCATAATTAGAATTTGAAAACGCCTCAGAAGACAGGCGAACCAGTCTCTCTTATTCTTTATTCTGCACCCACATTATTAAACTTTGCACTACATATACACATTTTTTATTCAACTGTAGTTTATTCCTTGCAGGATAAAATATCTGCAAATCCTTCCGCCTTCCTTATAAAGCTTAATAACGCTTTCAAATTACAATTATCATTAAAGATTTAATTTGAAAACAAAATCATCATATAAAAATTCTGTCTTATTAGCCACAAGCTTGTTTATCACTTTTCCTCTGCAAATACCACTACCGAGTGCAAATTCGACCAGACAGAGTTGAAAACATATTCTGCAAAGTCGGTTAGGCAGGAAAAAATTCTTTCTCGAAAATCTAATTTTTGTGCGAAACTTTGTTCTCATCTCGGGAATTATATTTGCAAGTTCTCCCATAAAGGTTGAAAAACAACATTTTTCATATTCACACAAATACATTTTATTTACTTCAAGGCCTTTTTATAGTCAATAAACTTCATACAACACCCTGCTACAAAGAATTCTAATTTTATCAATAAATTTATGATATTGAAAAAGTAAATGGAGACCCCGCTTTTATAAAATAGACATTTATCATCTTAAAATAATTAAGTCTTTAATAAAAATTCCTTTGTGGAGATCACCCAGGCCCCTTTCCATCTGTTTCCTAGCCCCCCCCCCCCCTTCCATGTTTCTGGCTAGAGTAGGGCTTAAGCTTGTAATGGAAAGTTATTAGTTTGAAATTAATACAAAGAGTTTAATTTCAGCATTTCAAATTCCATTTAACCTTAGAAATGGGCATTATTCAACTCAATTCAAGGAAGCGGTTTTATTAGAGGATATAGGGGTGCGTTCAATATAGAGTAAATAGATCTTGAATTTGGGCTCGGGCAGAAAGAAGGGATAAAAGGCGTTAAATTTCGAGCAATCAGAGATAGATTTAGGAGAAAGAAAAAATTTAATTAAAAAAATCTGAGCCGAATTGAGGGAAATCAGAGGTTTATTATGAGAAATCAGAGCTAAAAAAGATGAGAAATCAGAATAATCAGAAATCAGAAATCAGAGTAAGAGAAATAAAAGCTAAATTAAGAGAAATCAGAGATAGCCGTAGGAAACTCAGATACAAAGTTAGAGAGATTAAAAATGAATTACCTATTGAAAACGAGTTCAATTGAATGATAACTTAATAAGATGACCGGAAAACAAAGATTACAATTGACAGCAACGTGATAGAAAATGAATGGCGAGGGTGGGTGAAGTAAATAAAGGGAGTTTACAGCTGCAGTGTACAGTGTACAGGGATTTTAGCATGTTCTTTTCTTCTCAAACTTTAACTTGGTTTTGTGGTTAAACATCTTTACAAATTCTTAATTAGATTTTCCGCTGGAAACTTTTCTTCCTGGTTTTTTCTAAAGATGGGATATAGTTAGGTAGAGGCCGAGAAAGGTTATGGGGGGGGGGGGATAATGAAGGATAGCTAGGTATATTCTGAATACTCTCTGGGCGACGAGACGAGGCTGAAATTTCTTGAATTGCATGCTCAAGTTGACACAACTTTTTTATTAGACTTTTCCAAATTCCAGGTAGTAGTGTCAAGTATGCGGAATTTATTCATAAACTTTGGTTGTGCTGTAAAGCTCGCATGAAGCAGATCTAGGATATTTGATTCAACTGTTCACTGTAGAGTGTTGGGGCTTTATTCAAGAGAATTTTATAATACTTCATGCATGTTGAACCAAAATCTCCCATCTGTAATATATTGGATGAGTTTTTATATATTCACACGATCCAATATATTCTCTTTTTATGTAAATGGAGGTCAATATAATTCTGTTCTTGCACTAGAAAATTTTATTTATTTGTATATAAACCAGTTTTATGATAAACAGAATTATATATTCACATCCAAATTAATTTGAGCATGTCGCCTCTTTGCACTCGCTTTATTCAGTAACTTATTTATATTCTTGCCTACCCCATCTAGCGGACAAGTTTTAACTTTGAAACTTTTAGTCGGGCTGCTGTAGTGCGCGGTCAGGTGATTACGCCAAGTGGAATGGGACTGATAGGGGTTCGAGTTTCGACGAACGGAGTCAACGAAGGGTTTACAATGACGAGAGACGATGGATGGTTTGATCTGATGGTGAATGGTGGAGGACCTGTCATGCTCCAGTTTGGAAGGAATCCTTACTCACCACTTAGGTCGGAAAAAAGTTAATATTTTAAAATAAAATAAAATCAATTAAAAATCATTAAAGTTCATTTACTGCTAAAGGGGGCCAAGAACGCATTTTATAAAGGATGTGGGTGAGGGGGTAGATATGAAACATACAATTTTTGAACTTCTATTTGGTTGCCAAGAATGTTATTTTTGAAGAAAATCAATTTTATGATCTGTCTAGGTTATCCCTGTATGTACCCTGGAATGAAGTAATGGTTCTAAGCCCTGTAAAACTGACACGGCGTGAGGTTCATGTACAACTACCAGAGCTGTACAATCCCATCCCTACCTGTACACAACACGATTACAACAAGATGCAGCCGATTGTCCAGACCTCCTGGCACTCCTACACCAGGGGCGGGTCCGGGACAGGGGCGGGGATACTCTCGGAGTCCAGGGTTCTCCGGGAGTCCCTGGAGATACCTGGATCCAATATCAACCTTGTATACACATCTAGCAGAGCAAAGGAACAATGTTCAGTCAGATCTCTAGTAATAAAATTACTACATTTGAATAAATGTTTAAATCAAACAAAAAAAAATACTTAATTATTAATATTCAATTTCATTTGGTAAAAAAATTGAAAAAAGTAAAAAAAAATTCATTGTTTAAATATGATTTATACTGATCCGCTTAAAAGTAAATTTTATCCTGATATTACCTTAAATTAATTGGGTACTTATTCTTATCTGAAACAAAACCTTAATCTTTCTAGTAAAACTATTCAAACAATTTTACTAATAAATTTTAGACCTGGGAGTAATTGATTAATTAATTAAATGTCTAATGTAGAATAATTAAAGGAAAATTATTAATTTCTTGTGTACGGAATAGTAATTTCCAGTTGTCCATATTAAATAAAGTTTGAAGCAGATAATAGGAGCATAAAGGATATTAGAATAGGTTTAGTTTACATCTAGATAGTAGATGTATGGTTTATTGCTCGGAAACTTCATACAACAAGGGTTGGGGGGGGGGGTCATTTTCTCCTGTTTATTCGTTTATTCGGGGTGGAAATTTCATGAGTATTTTTTATTATGTTTTGTTTTTTCATTAAGAATGAAGAATGATAATAATGGTTTATTGATACGTATTTTGTCTAGAGAAATATTCAAGGACTAAATAATAAATATTTTAATTAAGACAAAGATGAATATTGTTTATTGTTACCAGGGATACTATTCAATAATCCAGCTCCAGCTGACCCCTCAGATACTACCTGATGGTCTGACTAGAATACATCTTATCATCAGTATTGAAGGTAAACTCACATCTATCTATCTATCCATTAATCTATCTTCTATCTATGTTTAAGGTTCAAGTTGTATCCATTGTTTGTAAATTTCTCCGGTTTATCATATTTTAAATTAATTAAATTCTCTCTTCCTTTTAATATCCATTTATCTATCTTTTAATTGATTTATCCGTCCTCCATTATATCCTTGTGTTTGGTTCTATCTCCACTCCCCCCTGAATCAACCTTTCTAATTTGTTACTGTTTTTCATATCTGTTGGCAGCTTGTTTGATAAATGTTTAAAATAGAAATCAATTATCTTTTCTAGGCAAAGGAACATTTCATTTTTAATAATTTTCCGATATTTTTTGATTTCCATAACTTAAAATTTTTTTAACAACTATTTATTATTATTTGTGCTTTTACTATGTTGAATATACTTATATCTATCCGTCTATCTATCTAAGTTAATAATGCGAATATATTGGCACGTGTATCTATAAATATAAATATCTGTCTTAATCAAGCCAGTTATATGGACGTATATATACATATTATGCATTTATAGCTTACTTACTTTCATACATAGGTATTATAAGCAAACCCGTTGCTATCTATCTATCTATCAATTGTAGGTGAATGATATCATAAATTTTTTTTTAAATTTCAGTCTTCAGCTAGTAATATGGACCTTAAACACTCAATTGTATTTTGTCTTATTTATCTATCTATTCATTCCTTCATTCATTCAGTAATCAATACATTCATCATCCATTCATCCATCCATCATCCATTCTACCCATTTATAACAACTTTATGCATATATCTTTGATCTATCCCATTCATCTATTTGCATGTACATGATTTTGTACCTAGGTGTACAAGAGGATAAGCTGTTTGAGGCTGATCCTAACCTGCAGTACACTTACGCCTGGGATAGGCTAAACGTGTACAGGCAGAGGGTTTATGGAGTCACTACAGCAAACATAAAGGTAAACAAACAAACAAAATTTTTTTTAATGTGATTTAAAAAAATACAAAATATATGGCAAAAATGTCATACAAAAGCGTAAAAGAAACAAACAAATTCTTATGCAAACAAACAAAACGCAAAAATTAACAAACACTTAAATCAGTAAAACTCAATATATTCAAAGAAAGAAGAATATTTGATATCCTAATATTGCTCTGAATTTATAAAACTATTCCGTATATCTATTGTCTATTGTTCCTTAATTAAAGTAAATTTAGTTTGATTTTTACAATCTTTCCAAAAAAAATATCTATCTATCTGTATTTCTATCTGTATAATTGAAGTATGCATAATGCCTGAATTTGTATGCAGGGAGTAGTTGGGATAATGACCCTGTACTTTATTTTCAATATTTTATGGGGTCATGTATCTTTGTATGTATATTGTATCTTACATACTTTATATTTTAATTTTTTCTCTTAATAGTCATTTCTCCTGTTTTCTTCTTATGTTTTTTGATGTATCTTTTTTTGGTTTTCGGTTTTATTACCATTTTTTTACTTAATATTATTTCCATTTTCTGCCTGTAAATCCCACTAAATAGTCCTTTTCCTATTTCCCTGTCTGTCTATATATTTTCTAAAATATCTCAAGATTTCAATTTCCGTGCGGTGTGAAATAGTGGCCATTTTCCTAGGCTCTTTTTCTTTTATCGAAATGAAGTGGGGAGTCGTACAAATGTGTTTTCTTCAGTTGTTTAAGAAATCCGCAAAATAAAAAGTATATTTTATTGTATGTACCCGAATGCATAAACTGTACATTTATTTTAAAAGTAAAAATCCTACTTTTAAGCTTCACAATATTTGATTTATAATTTTTTAATTAGATATATAATTTCAAGATTTATTAAACCTGCGTTAATAAAGATTAAACTTTAATAAACCTTTATTACCAAGATTAGTATTACGAAGCTTAATTTGTTTATGCTGCACCATTTTCTTGTACTCCCCCCNCCCCCCCTTTCTTCCTTTCATTATGCATTAATTCTTGGGATTGCACAGACTTGTTTTCCAGTTATAAAATATCTAATTCTTTTTATACTTCAAAACATCATGATAATGCTGAAGTTTTAATTTAACTAATAATTTGACGTTTGGAATAAAGTAACTTTAATCGATTAAAGGAGCTGATTACATGTATAAATTTCTTCATTTTTTAATCTTTCAACCTATAACCTTTTATCTAGGTTGGATATGAGTATAGTAGCTGTGACCTGGTCTGGATAGCACTGACCACCAAGGTTGGAGGACATGACATGGTTCTATCAGATATTGGAACCTGGAACCTGAATGTACACCACAAGTACAACTATCACGAAGGTATCCTGCAGAAAGGAGATGGAACCAACATTTACTTGAAGTATACTCCCCTTGTCGTCACTAATTACATGGGAACCGGTCAACCTAGGGATGTCGACTGCTCTAACTGCAACGGACCCGTTGCCGGAAAAGCTCTCCTGTCGCCGAAATCGATCGCTGCCGGTCCCGATGGTTCTGTGTTTATCGTCGATCATAGTTTGGTTCGACGAATTAGTCCCGAGGGAGAGGTGACAACACTCCTCCAGCTAAAGTAAGTAAATAAATAAACTATTAAAACACAAATGAATAGTAAAAAATCAATAATAAATAAACAGTAGGAATACACCAAAAACAAACATGTATCTAACAGAAGAGGGGGGAATGTAAGTTTGGATAATGGTCTCACATTTTTATCCCATAATGGGTTCAATCAAACTTTTTAAAAATGATGTAACTATAAAATCATCTCTCAGTCGTTACACCCCACCTCTTACATCCTCAGAATTTAAACAAGAAGGGAAACTTTTTACTGGTAGATTGTATCCCCCTCCACACCCCTTCCTTACAATATATATATATAGATAGATATATAGATAAATGTATATACACTCGTTTAGTTAATCAAATATCCATTCTCCTCTCTCCTACATTAGACCCAACCTAGGATCTTGAGACTCCATCTCTCAAGGATCTTCAATTTGTCAGGGCTTTGACCCTCCCATTGTCTGATTGTTTGTGACCGTGAGTCTAGGTGTTAGTCTGTTTCTTAATTTGTATGTAAATCTATCACGACTATGTATATTCATGAAATATTTATTTGAACAGTTATAATCAGAATATTAATTAATTATTATTAATAAATGTTTTCAGCCTCAATACTAATGAGAAATGTTAATATCTGATTGTTCCTTATAATTGATTAAGCTCAAAATGTCTTTAGTTTAATTAATCCTCATTAATTAAATAAGTATCACAATCAAAATCAAAAACGTTTATTAAATAATTCTTTATTAAAATTTTAAAAAAATGATAGAGAGATAGAAATAATTTCTTAAATGAAAGGAACCTTAACCTTTAATTTTCAAATCCTTATACCTTTGCAACCTTTTTATGTAAACCTTTCATATTTAAACTTTGTCTGTTTAATCTAGAAGAATTCATAGTTTGAAATATCAAAAATCTACGATCATAGATTTAAGGATTAGAAAATTAGAGTTTGAGTTGAGTTAATCAGTTCCTTTGTTTAATAACATAATAACTTGTTTTAGTACAACCCGGACTGGATACAGAAACCATCTTGCACACCGTACATACACCCAGGAGTTGGAACACAGACAGACACTGTACATAGCTGTACCAGACCTGTACATAATCATCAAGCTGAAGAGTGTAGAGAAACCTGGAAATGTAGAGAGGTAAGATATCATATTTATTGGAGACTATTTGAGTAAATTCAACAATACATTCATTCTTATATTCTTAAATTTTATCCTTCTATATTGATTTTACTTCTGTCCGCCATTTATACTTATATCCATTTATTTACTCATCTATTTATTCATCCATCTTTTTATTCTTCTATCCATCTCTTCATCCTTTTAACCATCTATTTATCCTTCTATATTGATTTTACTTCTATCCGCCATTTATACTTATATCCATTTATTTACTCATCTATTTATTCATCCATCTTTTTATTCTTCTATCCATCTCTTCATCCTTTTAACCATTTATTTATCCTTCTATAAAACTATACATTCTTCTGTTAATCTATTCATCTATATATCTATCATCTATCATCTATTTATCATCTATCTATCTATCTATCATCTATCTATCTATCATCTATCTATCTATATATCATCTATCATCTATCTATCTATCTATCTATCATCTATCTATCTATCATCTATCTATCAATCATTATCTATCTATCATCTATCCATCTATTCATCCTCTCAACCAGATATTTTATATCCTTATACCCTTTTATTAAATAATTTTCTAAACACTTTACTATTTTTTCGTACTAGATATTTATGAGTAAGTGGGGGGGGGGGTTGACAGGAGAAGAGTAATATCCAGGGGGGGGGGGCATCTCTTCAATTCATCCAATACATATGTAGAATTCCATCCAATTCCGTGCATTCCTACCACGTAATTAATTAACATTTAATTATCAGTGCATCTAATTAAGTGTAATTAAACACAATCATTGAATAAATGGATGAATACAAGGCAGAGTTTTGTAAAAGAAAAAAAACTTTATTTTTATTCAACAAAATAAACTAACAAAATTATGTATTGTCAAAAAATAAAAATATAGTTTGAATATTGTATGATACGAATTTGATTGGTTGCTCTTTTCAGATTCAGGATACAAACATCTTTTTATTTTTAACAGGAAGGGGAATACAAATTTTTCTTTTCTAAAAGTTAAAAATCCCAGATTGTAAATCCAGCTGCAACCACTACCCATCCATCCCATCGGAAACGAGGGGGAATATAAATAATCCTTCCCTTTCAGACTCCCCCCCCCCTCTAAACTTTTCCCCCTCGTTTTGTCCGTAAGGGCAGAAGTCAACTGTTGGGACATTTTTCTAAGAATTTTCACAGATAAATAGTTGAGGGAACTTGGGAAATATTATTTTCAGACTTTTCACATCCGAGCATTTTCTGTCTCTTAGCTTGTTTGTCAGCATATTAAATACAAGAAAATGACAAAATGATCTTCAAACTTAATATTTATATATAAAATAATAAAAAAAAAAAAACATTTTATATATGATAATACTTGAGTAAGCATCTTTTAAAAGGGATCTTTATTTCATTAAAAACAAAAATTTAGAAATATAGGATAATGGAAGGCATTTTAAAAATGTGAATAGTTGAGTGAGCATTTTATTTTTATTGTTTGAACGCGGCATCTCGGAGAGAAATTTCGTATTTTATTAAAAATTCTTCAGAATTTGTATTGTTTATAAAATATTTCAGGGAATTTTAACAATATTTATGCTTCCAGCATTTTCCATAAAGTTTAAAGGAGATTAAATGTCACAGATTAGTTTAGATAAAAGTTTATTTTGGCTTTAAAGGAGTTGAGTTTTTGCCACAAACTCAATTTTCTAGTTCAGATTTCTTTGCAACCTGATGGCGTAAACCTTTGATATTTAAAACACATCTAAGAATCTCACCGCTCAAAGATGTGCCTGAGGGCTTCCCTTTTGTCAAATGAGCGAACAATCCATTTACTTTAATTTTATTTTTATCCAATCTTATCTTTTATTGTCCAGCCATGAATGTTCCCCCTCAATTCTTCCTTCCAGTGTAGTTTCCCTAACTCATTATACTTCTATTATTTTATTTTATGATTTTAGAACTAAAATTTTCCAAGGAATAGTTCTATTCTTCTCCTATTCTTATCTCACCCTCTACACTTTACACTCTCAAACTTTTCCACATCTATAATCTTACAGTTCTTTCATCTTTCCCAGTATTATTCTTTCCTTTATTTCTTTTTCTTTCCCGGTGTTATTCTTCTCTCTCTTTTCCCCCAGTATTGTCTTTCTATTCACCCTCTATCTAGCCCAGTATTATTCTTTATTTATTTATTTTTCTTTCCCAGTATGATTCTTCCTTTTCTTTTATCTTTCCCAGTATTATTCTTCTTTAATTTATTTTTCTTCCCCAGTATTATTCTTTTTTTTTTATCTTTCCCAGTATTATTCTTATTTTTTGTTTTATCTTTTCCAGTATTATTCTTACTTTTCTTTTATCCTTCCTAGTATTATTCTTCCTTTTCTTTTATCCTTTCGGTTTCCTTGTTTTTCGTCAATCCTTTCTTAATGTCCATCTATTTTTCATCTCTCCTCATCTATTTTTGTTTCTCCTCACTAATCTGTCCTTTCTCTTGATCTATCCTTTCTTTTCTTCATCTATACTTTCTTTCTTCTCTGCCTTTACTTTCTAATCTAGATCTCTTAGTTAACAGTCTTTATATATATAATTTCTTCTTACATATTATTTTTGTTATCTGTCTTATATGTCTATTTGTCTATCCAGGAACTGGTCTCCTGCTATTGGATCTGGTGAACGTTGTCTACCTGGAGATGTAGGAGAGTGTGGAGATGGTGGGAAGGCAGAACTAGCTAAACTATCCTATCCTAAAGGTTCATTTTTAACTAAATTCAATCCATGCAAACTCAAATTCTTAATGGGCAATTCTGTAGTATTTTTCTCTAGTATTTTAGTTCTATCATGTCATATTGTTTTCCCTATTGTGTCGGCCATTGCAGTTTGGAAGGAAATATCCTGTGCTTGTGTTAGATAATGCACTTTTTTATGTTTATTTGTCGTTTTTATTAGATTTTACATTTCAAAATTGAAAAATAGTTCTGCAGTTTATATGTTTTTTGGAATTTGCTGTTGTTAAATAGTTTGGCCTACTTGTTACATTTGTTGATCGCTGCTGCCCCCCCCCCCTCCCTATTTTTGTTGTTGTTGTGTTGTTGTGATGTGTATGTTAAAGTTGTGTTGTGTATAACTCTTGTAATATCCCAGAGGTAGAAAATCTAATTTTCTTCCTTCAGTCCTTCCTCTCTCATCTTGTATCAAATTCAGTTTGAATTAAACCTTTTGATTTATAAATTCATCTTGCTTTCCAGTTTCTAGAAAATATATTTTTATTCCTTTTTCTAACAAGTAATATGTTGTTCAGGAATTGCTGTTGGACCAGATGGCCGAGTGTATATAGCAGACGGGAACAATATCCGGGTAGTGGATGAGTTTGGTATAATCTCTACCTTGGTGGGACACCAGAACCATCGGTCAACCTGGAAACCTCTGCCCTGCTCCGGAGCCGTTCCCCTAGCTGACGTCCAGCTCAACTGGCCGACAGATCTAGCGATTAATCCTCTGGACGGAACCCTCCATTTTATTGATGATAGTATGGTACTGAGTCTAACTAAGGATGGAAGGGTTCAGATAGCTGCGGGTCGACCTCTACACTGCCATCCTAGTCAGTATCAGGAGGATTCTCCACAAAGTTCTGCTCTTATTGAACCTCAATCCATCAGTTTCAGTCCTAGGGGAGAGCTTTATATAGCAGAGAGCGATTCTCAGAGGATAAATCGCGTGAGGAGAGTTGCGCAGAATAAAATTGAAACGATTGGTGGAAAAAATTCTAATTGTAATTGCCGAGATTCTAACTGCAAGTGCTTTGATCCTGACTCTCATCTTGCGGCTTCCACAAGATTTAGTGCTATAAGTTCTATTGCAGTTAGTCCTGATGGGAAGCTTTATATTGCAGATCAAGGAAACTTCAGGATTAGAACTGTTGCATCCCACATGCCAACTAACGAGGAGGAGGAGGTCTTCGAGGTTCCAGACCCAGACAGTCAGGAGCTCTATGTGTTCAACAGGTTTGGTCAGCATATTCTGACCAAGGACCTTCTCACAAAATCTCTGATCTACAGTATGGAGTACAGTCAGACTACGTCTACGGGTAAGCTGGTGACTATAGCGGACTCTAGCGGCAGAAAACTAACTATTCTACGGGATTACAGTGGACAGGTGACTGCACTACAAACATCCAATGGGCAAAAGCATGCAGTTAAGGTGAATAGAATGGGATACTTGGAAGCATTTGATACACCTGAAGGTTACAGTGCAGAGTTCCATTATGTCTCCACCACTGGGTTACTGCAGAGCAAACTAGACAGTCAAAACTATGGATATATGTTTAAATACGACCAATATGGACGTTTGATACAGAGTGTTTCCCCCTCAGGAGAGATAACTTTCCTTACATTTAATTTAACTTCTCATGGTGGAAACATTCAGGTCGGTGAAACTGTTCTAAATGTCAATGATAACAAAGTTATTGAGCTCTCTCTGGACGGATTAAGGAGAAAGGAAACCTCAATTCTCTCTGATAAATCAGTTGAGGTTAAGAATGGGGAGCGAAAACTAACCCTCGCAACTATAACCCACCCGGTTATCAGTCACAGTCATCCCATCATTGGAGACAGCTATCCTATGATCGGAGAAATGCGGGTAGAGTCGGGTTCAAATCTCATTAGTAAGATTGATTGGGAATTGAGTCTGCAGACAAGTGGACATGACAAGCAACTACTCGGTATCAATAAGAAACTCAGAGTTAATGGAGAAAACCTGCTTCTTGTTGCATATGACAAGCTGCAGAGAAGAGAGATGCTCTACCTTCCTGACAAAACAGAACTTCTGGAGATAAAATATGATGAGAATTCTCGGCCCATCACCTGGGCCGCCCCGTCCCTCGGTCACGGTGGCTGGGCAACTGTATCCCAGAGGTATGACAGGTTTGGACACTTGGAACACTGGCAGAGAGGGGAAATCCAGGAAAATTATTCATACGACAAAAACGGACGTCTGGCCACAGTGATCCGGGGTAATGGAACCGTTCTATCATATGAATACAAAGATCGGGAGACAATACCATTTAAAGTTAGAACAGGGAATGGAGCAACTTTTCTCATAGATTATGAGGGTAAATCTGGTGCAGTAAAATCCATAACAACACCCCGAGGACATATTCACAGTTGGAATATTCTCCCCGATATCGGAAGTATCCGCTGGAGCTATATTGCTCCCTGGAGCACACAACCCTATTCAGTAATTTTCAATGTTCGCGGATTTCTCCAATCTGTGAAGTATCCCGGAAATGAGCAGGTTTCCTACATCTATACAAACTCAGGAGAGCTCCAAAGTATATTTGCTGGACAAACGGAGATTGAGTTTACTCAGGAACCAGAATCAGGACTCATTGAATCCATTTTCATCAGTCAGACAAACCTGGATATTCGTGAAAAAAGAAAATATCACAGTGAATGGTTGAAGGAGCAGAAACTAAGGTTTGTTGGCAGTGTAGATTTTGAGAATGCTGTTATCAAGTATCAGTGGGACGGAACAGGACGCCCCGCTAAGGTCAGCTTCTCTTCCGGTTCCAAGAGAGAAAGAGCAGCTCCAGAGTGTACCTGGAGCTATGATCAGAATGTTGGAACCCTCCAGGCTGTTGACAGTTTCCAGATTAGAAAATCTGGTTTCAATAGAACAGAGATTCAGGACCTGAATGGAAACTTTATGAAAATCACGGAGCTGGATGGATATGGAAATATTAAGAGGATACTCTACAAAGTGAAGAGGCAACAAATATTTGGATTTGAGTTCGAGTACAATAATGAAAACCTGCTCCATCATTCTTCCATCATTGATGAGAACGGTAGAACGGAAAAGGTTAGCTATTCCTACACAGTGGACCAACAGCTGGATAAATCCTGGGGAAATACCAACTATGATTGTGATTACGATGAGAATGGTAATATGATAATGCACAGCAAGGATGCAAGGAGAGATACTATTATCTATGGACCAGGAGACAGGATAGAGAGCTGTGGAAGCATGAAGATTGTTTATGATACGAGTGGATTTGTGACGGCCATAGACAATGAGAGGTTCCTCTTCAACGCTCTCGGACAACTTACTGAATACATCAATGAGAATGAAATCAAGGTTCGACACTACTATGATCATCTGAACCGTCTGGTTGGTTGGACGGATTCTGCAGGGGGTAGCTCACAATACTTCTACACCAACCCTCTCCATCCATATCAGATTACTTACATCAACAATAAGAACGAAAATACTCAGAAACTAACATATGATAATAACGGACATTTGATTCAGATTGAGAGCACTGACAAGATTAATTATGTTGCTTGTGATCAATTTGGGTCTCCAGTCCTTGTCTTCCAGCCAAATGGAAATGTAATAAAGAGACTAAAATACTCTCCCTTCGGGGCGGTGACGGATGATAGTAATTCCAATATATTCATTCCTATTGGTTTCCAAGGTAGGATTGCAAGCAAACATGGTAAATTTCTGCTGGAAAAAGGACGGGTTTACAGCAGTAGAATAATCCAGTGGTTGAACCCGGACTGGTCTAACATGTTGAACAAGATCATGACTCCGTCAGATTTGTTTATCTACAGATTCAAGAATAACAATCCCAACAGGCCAGACGTAGGAACTGAGTATTTGACCAGCATGTCTAGCTGGGCCAAACTTTACGGATTTGATGTTGAGAAAATATTTCACGCTGCTAAATCTAGAGTAGAGACTCAACCTGAACCCTTCCATCAGCTTACCCTCACCTCGCTCTTCCCAGCTCACAAAATCATATCGGAGACGGATTCTCTAGTTGATAATGCTTTAGCTCATCTTCAAGATCTCTGCTTTATCCACCCAGTTCCTGAAGTTGTTAACACAAGGCGGGTAGAACTAATTCCTAAATTCTTCAGTTCTCCTCCAAACTTTGGACGGGGTTTCCTCCTCTCCGTGATCAACTCCGATACAGCTCTGGTAAACCCTGTTGAGGTTCAGAACAGTGTAGTTCAGAAGATATTTGAGTCGGTTCTTAATAACTCTATATACCTGGATACTAGCTTCACAGACTCCAGTAAGTCAGTTTACTACTTTGTAAAGCCTAACTTAAACCGGTTTTCTCTTGACAGTGACACTGTCCGCCGTTTAGCAGGAGAATTCACGGTCTCACACAAAGAAATTGACATCGGAAAAGAACTTAGCATTGTAAACGACAAGTTCGAAGTCCGAGTTCTCTATGGAAATCTGCCAACAGTATACAGAGCAGAGCTCCTGAAAACCTTCTCAGGTTTAGCGATCAACAAGGCCTGGATTCGGGAGAAGGAGATCATCAAACGTGGTTTCTCCGGTACCGGAGATTGGAGCCCGTCCGAGATTGCCGAATTACTCAGATCCGGTATGGTTCGAGGATTCGAGGTCACAGAAATACAATCTATTGACAAGTTTCCATTCCTAGCTCTTGACCCAACCAATCGCGAGTTTAATAAATTCGGCCAACGAGGCCGAAAGAATCGTCACAGACGAAAGCATCAAGATTAGATTTAGAAATTCCCCGAAGTGAGAGAGGAAAGAAACAATAGTGCTACCAAAGTTTTTATACTGTAAACCCTATTTATTATACATGAAGAAGATCGAACACTTTATCTTTACCCCAACTGTGTTTGTGAAGAAAGATTAAAATGGTGGACAACCATGTCCTGTCCTAGTCATATCACAAGACTACATCAAGATTATTTATATATGAAGATTAAAGACGACCCTTCTAGAGGGTCTGCTTGAAAACCCCCGCCATGAAATGAATAGTTGTGCATTTTATTTATGAAATTTTGTGCTTAATAGATACAGGGTGTAGACAACAGTTAGGACAGCTGTTTAAACAGAAAAGTGACGAGCTGTTCCAATTTTATGTAAACAATTGGGACAACTAGTAGATATAGTTGGGACAGCTGTTATTTCTCCCAATACAGTTAATAGATGTTATGTTTCACCTAAACTTTGGTATAGTAAATACTTGTTGTACACTTTTTTAAAATGTTTTTGTTTTCCGGCAACCAATGCAAAATGAAATAGCTTTTAATTGAATGTTGATTACCAGGGAGGGTTAACATTGTAAATCCTATCCTTTAGCTACCATAATCATATATGTTGTTAAAATGTCGTCATAAATGCATTATTTTGCATAAAAACCTGTTTTTCATTTATTCTTTCTCAAATCTACTCTTCTAAGTTGAAAGCACAAAATGTGTTTAAGGTGATCGGATATCTTAAACACCATTTTCATCCGTTTAAAATATTCATTTTAAAAAGCTCAAATTTATACAGTTGATGAATTTGTAATGAAATATCTAGAAAAGAATAAGGTTACTTGTTCAACGTAACCCCCCCCTCCCCCTCCTTANATATAAAGCTGTGATTTAAAGGAAAGATGAAAATCTCAATCAGACGAGTAGATTTCTCAGAGGGCTGTGATACCGTATATTGTAATCATTTAGTCAGGATGTGTAAACGTAATAAATGTAGTAACAACCCAATCACGTCTTTTATTCTTTTATCAGAGTTTTAATTCGATTTTTTTCACGTCTTTTTCATTCATTTTATTCTGATACTAGCTTGGGAACCCTGCTTTACCTGGAAACTAAGTTATCTCTATATAAAAGTAGACCTACCCGTTTAGAACTTTTAAACCATGAACTAAAAACATTCCTTAGGTTCTAACCTAACGGATTTCTCAACCAAATTTGAGGCAACTCGGTAAAGGGGTTCCTGAGTTATGATCATACATGAAAACAAACAAATAGATATTACTATACTACATTTATAGATTCCTATTTTACTTGCTGATGGATACTTTTGTTGTCGCAAAGGAACAAGATTCTGACGATGAACAGATAGACAAGGTATAATCCACGAATCAAAATCGATAATGCAGAAAACTCTTTATTTCCTAAAAAAAATAACGAAATGAATAATGATAAATAATTATTACAGGGTTTACAAATTTATAATGAAAAGATTCTTACGATCTATTTTCCTATTCGTGGGACTATCTGTCGAAAAGTCCGAAGACGCTTTTTATACATTAAAACTTCTGAAAAGATTGACAATTAAATGTTGATGAAAGTCACTAATTCTTTAAATAGAAATGTTTTTGTTTAACTTTGAAATGGTTCACAATTGATAAACGTTTTAACTCCGTCATCGGAGAACAAGGAAGAAAGGCGGGCTGAAATTGTTTGGTTTGGATTCTTGACTCCGAGAGGAGCATTTAAGTTGAAGACGATATTACATGAACTGTGGGGGGGGGGGTCTTAATGTTAATGGTTGACAACTTTACTTTTCATTATTTTGATCCATTCATTGAGCAGAGAAAGATGGATTTGAAGATTCGATACTGAAGAGACAGGAAGATACAGTCTACAAAGATGTCCAGGATGTCCCACGAACCATGAAAGTTTAGAGACTATTTAGAGTTCGTCTTTAATCTTTGACAGCTACAGGGTGTTCCACGGAACATGACAGTTGGTAAATAGTTTAGAATGTCTTTTTCCATATTTTGTTAAGTTGTGTAATACCAAAGACAATTATAAAAATATTATTTTAAAATTAATTTCAAAGTAAAATATACTTGAGTAAAAGATTTTTTAAACGAAATGAACTCCAAACAGCCTTAATATCTAACAGAAGACGACATTCGAAACTATTTACCAACTGTCATGTTCCGTGGGACATCCTGTATCTAAAGTTTTTAAAACTGAAACGACAGTATAAAGACGACATTGATATGGTCTGTCAACCTTAATGTTTGGTAAAAAGTTACAGAAAAACGCTTTTGAGATTTATATTTTTTGGGTCGTTTTTGTTATTGTGTTATCTTTTAAACGCTTCATACTTTATATTTTACTTTAAAGAATGCAAAAAAGCTAGTTTGATTGACAAGGAGAAGTTAAACTTGAATTAGTACAGAGCCCGATTTCTCTATAGAAAGTGGTCGCGTAGTTCACGTACTTTGGGGTACTTTTCTCCGTACATTTTACGACCAATATAGGAGACGTCAAGTTGTCGACCAATGCAGTTTATGGAAGAAAAGGCCTCAGAAGGCTTTGCGCTAGAAAACCGCAGACCCGAATGACATCAAGGTATTTCAATAAACATGAACAGAAATTGAATCTTAGCCACAAACAAATTGTCTAATCCTGTTTTTGCTACCTGAAGTCCCTGAAGGAACCTTTGATATTTCAAACTTAAAGTATTTAATCTAACAGAATTCTTAGTTTAAAACATTGGTTTAAAAAGATATAGAGATAAGAAAATCAGAGTTTTCATTCCTTAAGATCATCTCTATTTTGAATTTTTTATAAATGGTTTCGTTTATCAGTAACAAGTGCGAACGTGTTATGAGCTATAGAATATTAAGTCTAGCTTATTTGTAAAGATGCAATGTTCATCATTGTTCATTTGTTACCTTACCAGTCTTTTCTTCAATATTGCTATTGTTGGTTCAATTAGTGCACAGTCCCTAGTTCTAAAGGGTGTACATGAAAAAGGTTCCCAGTTACTTTTTATATTCTAGAGCTCTCAATATTGGCAATAAAATCTTGTGAATTCATATTTTCCTAATATTGGTTATTATTAAACTATTCCATGCAAAAAAATCGGATTTGGAAATGATTTAGTAGCTGTTTCTAGACATCTGCGACCCTGGGGTTGAACATTGCAGCTGCCAGCTAGCTGGACAGTAGACACATAGACTCTATCTACCTTCTAAACTCTACAAAGGTTCTTATTTGTGTCCATCTGCTTCTTCTCTTTAATGATGTTTCTCTTCAGGGTTGGTAGGACAAGGATTATACTGTTCTCTTTATCTAGTTTCCTTTTTTAATGACATCAGCTATTTAAGTTGATTTTGAGGTTTCAATCACTGATGGAAGGCACAGCTGATCCATATATTTGATGATACCTAGCAGAACTTTTTACTCTATTTTCACTGTGAACATCTAAAAGTTTTTTAAGTTTCATATTTATGATTAGGATTTTTACCATGCTTCCTTTAAATATCTTTATCACTTAATTAGGACACCTGAACACTATTTCTGAGGATTTTTCCTTGGATTGGGTCTGAAATATCTGAAATAAGCCTCCTTCCACTCTCTTCCAAATGCTTCGACAAATAGCACCAAGATTTCATACTTATTCTTTTGGCGAATATATATATACTTATTAAATATTCTTGATTATGATTTCACAACCTGACAATCTGTTTTCGGCTTTAAAACGTTTTTGATATTTTCAGCATGATGGCAAATGGAAACTGCTGAACGAAGTCACCTCTTGGACTTTTTAAGCCAGTTTTTAATACAGGATCCATCTTTGGTCAATGCAAACTTATGTTTATGAGTTAGAAAATCTTCAGCTTAATATTCGTAGATTTACATAAACTAGAGAAGAAACGGTTGGTGATAACCTTTTTTAATTTACACCCTTTAACTGGAAAGGAGCTCAAGGGTTGAATGCGATTATTATCTAATAGCTGATGGGCCCGACGTTGCGCTTGGAATATAAAAAAAAAAAAAAATTGTAACAAAAAAAATTGACCATTTTTATTCAATCTTTGTTTTCCCGGCCACCCATGAGTGTCCACAAAAAAAATCAGCCCAATCGGTCCAGCCGTTCGGCCGGCTATAGGCAACATATATACATACGAATGTCTTGTTTTATTATATAGACTAGCTAAAGGGCCCAGCGTTGCCCGTAAAAAAAATTTGAAAAAAATATTTTGAGAAAAACAAATTTTGAATTTTTTTAACCTATAAGACCCACAGACCACCAATGAGTGTCAACACAAAATGTTAGCCCAATCGGTCTGGCCGTTTGGCCGGGAATAGACAACATATAAATTTTGTTTAATTATAAGTCTATAACACCCCCGCCAAACCCTGAGTGTCCACAACAATTTCAGCCCAATCAGCCCTATGGGTAGCCTGGGGGTGACATATGCTAAAAATATAATTTTTTATTTTTTTTTTCCTTCGGCCAATGCCGGTCCTTTAGCTTGTTTTCATTAAAATAAAACTCTGTATAAACAGTGTTCAAATAATAGAGAAATTCCTGATCTAAAAATATACAAACCATGAAACCATTTTATCTTTTATTTATTACCTATAATATTGATGAGGAAATAAATATACTAGGCACGGTCCCCCTCCCTCCCTGTAAACCATCTATTATTTAATCCCCTGGTTTTATTGCTCACGTCTATGAGATATTTGACCATTTATACTCCTGGAACTCTCCAAGTTCCAGTTTTACCAATCTAACAAAGTAAACGGGAAAATAAAAAGGAAAAACTTCCATTTTATCAACTTTAACTCATTATTTTTTTCTTATTGTTTATACTTGAAAATATATTTCCCATGATTCACATTAAATTTTCAAAAAGTTCAATAATAGAAGAGCCATAATTTTGTAATCAAATAAAAGCCTTTTTGGTATACGACAATGCTGGGTATATCTTCAATGCCGCGTAAATGAAAGACGTATTTAACAGTCGCCATAATACAAGGTTACCCACTAAAGGATAGGATATTAATAACGACTTTAAACTTTTTATTTCTGCCGGTTTGATGGTTAAATTACGGTCTTGTGTGTATAATTACATGGATCTAGAATGCAATGAAAATGTAACGCAATGCCTTGGCCGTTGTTTTTATCGTACTTACTTACTATACTTTTTTGTAGTCCTAGAAACCAGAATTTATACAATAAAGAAAAATTAATGATTCTGTACAGTCGTCTCTGAAGTCTCATCCTTTTTGGGTATATCACATTTTTATAAAGATTTATTCATGCAATACATACATAAAGGTGTAGTTTAAATTTTTACAAACATTTGTATAAAAGGTGACATTTATAATTATTTAATTCTAAATCTTCCTTCATTTTTAAACTGAACAAGACAGAAGGAGAATAATGTATGTGGCACTACTGGTTCCACTTTGTTACCTCGTGCTCCTCTAGTTCTCATTTTATGCACATTGCTCAAGTATGAGAAATGAAAATTTATCGTGTAACCTAGTTCTTTATTAGTCAATAATGTTTGAATCCGGAAAAAGAATAAGATTTGACGCTAAATTCCCGTTCTTTCAGGGATAAAAATTGAGAAATTTAGAATTAGGTCCCGAAGCAATAATATTAAATTGACTTTCATTCTTTCATTAAGATAATGATAATAGACTTTTAGATTAATGGTTCCTAAAAATAAGTATTTTTATTCTCTTCACAATCACATGGCTAAATGTAGGAAGTTACAATAAATACAGTTTGACTTAGAGAACTGTGAAATAAAAAAGACGACTACGGGGAGGGGGTCTGGAGACTCAGTTTGTCAGTGCCCAACAGGGT